AAATGAGTGTCTAGGGTTTCGTTTGCCGTCGGAGAAATGAGTGTCGTGATCAACGCCATCAGTCGGCGGTCTAGGGCGATTGGAGTATAGCAGATTAATTCAACGCGTTTTTGCATGAAACGAAAGAATCTGGCAGAAAAAAGTGTCGCTCTGCCTCGTGAATCGAGATATTAAGCGTTAAAGTTGACAACTATTGGTTTTCTCGAAAAGTATTCTATTCTATCAAATGTTAATTTTCTTCTTTACAGGATTGTACTGTAAATAAAATAATGCAGAATATGATTAGATCGCAAGTGTAGTGGGGAATGAGACAAGAGAATTCTGATATAATGTAAAATTTTATAAAATATATATTTAATAATTAATGAATCCATCCAGAAAACGTCAAGAAGATTTTTCTTAAATGGAATTTATGAAAGGATGTTTGGAAAAAAATTTGCAACTTTTAAATTCACGTATGTGTGTTTACATCTCTGTTTATCTGCAACGAACAATTTCCCAAGTCTGTCAGGAGCTATTGCATATTATACATATGTAATAAACACAAGTAATATTATATTTTATTCTTCCCGCAAATTATCTAATTATTATTATGTATTTTTTTACGATTTGGAACAAAATTTGGGACTTTGTCAAATTCACGTATGGTTTACATCTCTGTTTAACTGCAACGAATTTGATAACTAAGTTCATAACTAAGTACGAAACAATAATGAAAAGATTTATAATTAATATTTAATAAAAGAAAATCGAACGGAAATGGAATTATACACTGGTATATTAATTAACTAGGCTAGGAAATGATAATGACAAGCAATTTAGTCGATAACGATCTCCATTTGTTTATAAATCAATATTTAACAAAAGGAGATTAGATAATGAAAACGAAAAAATTATACGTCGGTAATTTTACAGTAATATGAAGAAGAATTTTTTTACAGTAACATGAATGTATAAGAAATAGAAATAGTTTGTGTAACTGCCAATTAATACAAAGCAAGATTATTTGAGTTTGAGACTACTTAGAGCGACTGTTACCAACGCTGATTAACTTTATGGATGATTAACTCAATCAGCAGTAGAGCAAATAGTAAATCTGTATATCGTTCTTATTATCTTCGTGATATCCCAGCAAACACAAAGTTACATGTAACGTACTCGTTAGTTGTAATTTCCCACTCAACAATATAATTGCAATATAACACACGTGTTATATTATAGTTATATTGTTGAGTGGGAAATTACAACTAACGGGTACGTTACATGTAACTTTGTGTTAGCTGGGATACTTCCATTTCTGCGTTCCTACTTAACTGTGACAACTTCTGTCTATAATAGGATGACTGCTGATTGAATTAATCGGCGTTGGTAACAGTCCCCCTTAGAATACTATAAACGTAGTATAATTATTATATGAATGTATAAGAAACAGTATGTGTAACTGTTCATATTACTGTAAAATAATGCATCTTACAATTAGTTTCTCTTTCTAACCTTCATGATTTATGTCTTAAATATAAACAAATAGAGATCGTTATCGAATAAATTGCTCGTGATTATCATTTCCTAGCCTAGTTAACAAATATACCAGTGTATAATTCTATTTCCGTTCGATTTTCTTTTATTAAATATTAATTATAAATTTTTTCATTATTGTTTCCTAACTTAGTTAACAAGTTGCAGTTAAACAGAAATGTAAATCATACGTGAATTTGACAAAGTCCCAAATTTTGTTCCAAATCGTAAAAAAATACATAATAATAATTAGATAATTTGCGGGAGGAATAAAATATAATATTACTTGTGTTTATTACATATGTATAATATGCAATAGCACCTGACAGACTTGGGAAATTGTTCGTTGCAGATAAACAGAGATGTAAACCATACGTAAATTTGAAAGTTGCAAATTTTTTTCCAAACATCCTTTCGTAAATTCCATTTAAGAAAAATCTTCTTGACGTTTTCTGGATGGATTCATTAATTATTAAATACATATTTTATAAAATTTTACATTATATCAGAATTCTCTTGTCTCATTCCCCACCATACTTGCGATGTAATCATATTCTGCATTGCCAGTAATGCGTGCTCCTGCCCATAGGCATACAGGCAACTCGACTTGCTGAGTACATTATATTTTATATCACAATTATAAAACGATGGGGGTGGCGGTGGGTAAATTTTATGATAATATCCTTTGTATATATGATCGTATACAAACTTCCCTTTTTAAAAAAAGGTAAAAAAAGCGCTAAGCGTGTGTGCTTCTCGTAAAGAATCACCATTTGGGCCAGTTTTACCAACGCCAATTACTTAATCGGCCATGAAACTGATGACTAATCACGTTTGCTGTTTAGTAGAACTAATGATATGTATCATTTGTATAAAAGATTTGATATCAACAACTGGCGCCAAGTTAAATTTTACCATTTTATTCCTCCTAAAGAAAAAATAATAGTAACTTTAATTTTTTTCTTAATTTATTTAACTCTCATGATATGTATCATTCGTATAAAAGATGTGATATCAACAAAATTGGTGCCAAGTTAAATTCCATGTAATTTGAATACCAAATTAAATAAATAATATTAACTTTAATGATATGTATCATTCCTATAAAAGATTTGATATCAAGATTTTTATACAATGAAACCTAAGTATACGTATACTTATTGAAGAATCTTCCTATTCCACAATCCAATGAATTAATACAAAACATTATCACAAAATTGCGTTACCTTGCACAATTTAAGTGTTAC